TAGGTCTCATAACAGCATCCAGGATATGGAGGCGTCACACCTCTGTAGATGTTTGCCGCTAAGTTACCTTTAACTTTATCTTAACTGTTGATAAACATATCTCATCTGACTAGCTTTGACTTATTACAATTATTATCATAATTATAAGGGTACCATGGTTAGAAAATACACATGACATGCAGTACAGCAAAACAATAAAAGATATTCGGTGAAAACCCTCACCGTTTGATTGATCGAACCTTGACCTGAACTTGATATGAACACTATTCACAAAATCACAACACACAGACACTTCCACCTTTCAACTGTTAGAACAATATTAGAATGAACTAAGAGGGCCTGTGCCTCAGCGTGCCCTTGGTGCCAAGCGATACTTTTACAGGGTGACTCACATGCAGAAAAGTGTCTAAAATATTGTGTATGCTTACATATGCCTGCTCGATATTCTTGATATACTTTCCTCGATTCGTTAATAAAATTCAACACCATGGATGCGGTTATTTCAGGCCTCGTATTCAAGGTTGTAAATATTTGTTGATCACCCTGCGTAATACAATAACACATTTATCTATAAGTCGTATTCCACAGCCTGGAATCCAGAACTCGACACCAAATCGAATTGGAAAGTAATTTAAAAATATGGCGAGTCAAATCATTTCAAAAGGCGAAATTGAATCGTCATTAGGTAGGCTCACTTAAGTACGATGAATCATCGAACACTGTATATCAAACGATATAAAGCAAATTTATGAGTTTACTGTTTCCACGGCAGATCTGACTGGTGCTTAGTATCTCTTAGTTCAGCAGCGTCTTAAAATAGAAGGTCTTTCATTGGCACCAAATATCCAACAATTTACAACCATTTACCGCAACTTCCAATCTACTTTTTGCATCCCCTCCAAAATGTCTGAAAATGAGCAGGAATCTCTGAAACGTTGTAACACTGTGTTCCAGTGATTTTATTTTCGCGGAATCTGAATCAATTTACAAATTATATGACTATCTAAACAATGGAAGTATTAAGCTTGCAATAATATTCGAACTTCGTTTCGCAAGTTTTCTGTTGCTTAAGGATATCTGCATTACACAAGTCCGTGTTCCTCATTTATGTCGATTTGTCAGTCCGAGTCTGTTGTATATCAATGCAACATAAGTACTGAGTTAGTCTACTTGACAAAATATTTGGAAAACCATCATAGATAGTGTAACACAAATTGAAGGCTAGGCGAAATGGGTGATACATTTAAGGGTCACCATTTATATACTAAGTGACATATAAATCCGAACACCCAGTTTAAAAGGTTTTATTTTAATAAAATTTTGTATAAGTACTTAATGAAGCATAATAAGTAAATGATAAAAATTTCAAAATGATTGCACTGCTTTAAAGCCCTTTGACCTTTAATAATGTGTGGATGCAACCTGATGTGCTACGCATTCTCCAACGCGCCTAGGCATGCTGCTGATCAGGTGGTCAATGTCCTCCTGTGGTATCTCATTCCAGGCAACCACCAACTCCTCTCGAAGTGCTTCTAGAGTCTGAGGAGGACGTTGCAAATTGAGCAATCTCCTAATCCCACACGTGCTCAATTGGGGATAAGTCGGGAGATCTTGGTGGCCATGGTAACAATGTGACATCATTATGTTGAAAGAAGTCTATTGTGACTCTTGCAACATGTGGTCCGGCATTATCTTGTTGGAAAGTTGAATCTGCCAGGGTGTCAAGATAGGGTAAAAGATGGGGTTCTAGAACTTCGTGGATATAACGCTGCGCGTTCATGTTACCTCTGATGAAGATTAAAGGTGACCTGGAACCATAAGCTATAGCACCCCAAACCTTCGAGAGGAGTTGGTGGTTGCCTGGAATGAGATACCACAGGAGGACATTGACCACCTGATCAGAAGCATGCCTAGGCGCATTGGAGAATGCGTAGCACATCAGGGTGCATCCACACATTATTAAAGGTCAAAGGGCTTTAAAGCAGTGCAATCATTTTGAAATTTTTATCATTTACTTATTATGCTTCATTAAGTACTTATACAAAATTTTATTAAAATAAAACCATTTAAACTGGGTGTTCGGATCTATATGTCACTTAGTATATAAGCATCGCAGTACGCTAAAGAGGGACGTACTCCTAATATCTAAATAATACTAACATATACATATAAATATTTCTCCTGTAGCGGTGTGTCAATGACGGCACCACCGCAGACCAGTTGGAGTTTGTTACCCAGTGGCAGTGTGGGCGTGTACGCGTATACATTAATTGTCTACGTCTCTATGTATACAATGCGTATACAATGAATACTCGTACATTGCGTATACAATGAATATAATGTATACAATGATGAATACAATGTATAGAATAGCATAAGCGAGCTTAGGTTTATTAGCAAACGTCAGAAAGTTGGTAAACAGTGAACCGACAACTTAAAGAAATATGGTTGGACGCTCCAAGAACAAAGAAATCGATTAACTAGGGTTCATTTGTTGTTCTTAATTTATTTAAAACTGTATCTTTGTATACGTATATAAATAAATATTTTATATTTTTTCATTATTTATAAACTGCTTCCACAGTCAAACCAATAATGCAAAATTGCAGAATTTGTATCTATACCGAACTTTCAGTTCCACCTAAAATCGGAGAACCATTAGGATCGATCTGGTATTGATCGCAAACAGATTCGCCAGAAATGTGTGTTTGAGCGTAGAAAATAAGGTGTTGCAGCAAGTTACAGTTGTGTTCTGTGGCCTTCATCACTGTTGGGACAGGGAACGTGGTCTGTGGCGCACTCTTTCTACACAAGTGGTGCCCTCTCTCTCTTCCTCGTACACATGGAAATCTAAAAGGGAAAGGGACTTTCGCCAGCACTATGTGCAAGTAGTTGAACTATGATTTGCTATTGTATACATTATATACATTTTATACGTTGTATACGTGAATATCGAGACATATATATTCATCATTGTATACGCGTATACAATGGTGTATTATAGATGGTGTATACAATGCGCCCACCACTACCCAGTGCACAGTAGGCAGTGGCCGCCACGACGAAGCAGCATCGCGTCGTGCATGCAACCGACATACAGTCACTCAGACCGACAGGCAAACCGACGGAAATGAGTGACATGGTTTTTCGTGATGTGCACATGTCATATAACACCCAAAATACATACTATTTCGCATTAGGAATATTTCGCCATTACAATACTACCTCGTCAGTTTTGGCAAAAGAAGTATACTAAGTGACATATAAATCCGAACACCCAGTTTAAATGGTTTTATTTTAATAAAAGTTGGTGAATGTATTTATCTTACTGTAAATAACAAGTGAAAAAATGTTGAGCCTTATCAGTTGGACATTCCGGTTTTTATACTGCTTTTTTTTAATTCACTAACGCTCTAAAAATGAATATTTCAGCCGCAGTAAAGAATCAATGTTGGTGGATTTTGGTTCTTGACATCCTTTACGATCGGTTACGATGCCTAGAGTACGGAGACCTGTACGATTTCGTCAACTTAGTGAGTTTGATAGGGGCCGTATAGTGGGACTTCGGGAAGCTGGACCTTCTTTTCGGGCAATTGCAGTTAGAGTGCTAAGAAGTGTAGACACTGTGGTTAGGTGTTGTCAGGCATGGCTTCGAGAAGGCCGTACGCAAAGAGCAAGGGGCACTGGACGCCGCCGTAGAACAACACACCGTGAAGATCGCCGCCTAAGATTATTGGCCTTAAGGGACCGTTTCTCCACTACCAGGTCCATTGCAAATGAATGGTTTGCAGAACACGGAAGACCTATTGGCATGCGAAGTGTTTACCGACGAATGAGAAGTTTTGGCTTGTTTTCATACCGGCCACACTGGGTCCTCCCTTTAACTCGAGAACACCGACGTAATCGCCTTGAGTGGTGCAGACAACGGTCACTCTGGGATCAGGAATGGAACAGTATTGTCTTTAGTGACGAGTCTCGTTTTTGTTTAGGCATGCACGATGGTCGTGCCAGGGTTAGAAGGCGACGTGGTGAAAGGAGGAATCCACAGTTTTTTGTTGAAAGACATTTTCATCACACTTTTGGAGTTATGGTTTGGGGTGCTATAGCTTATGGTTCCAGGTCACCTTTAATCTTCATCAGAGGTAACATGAACGCGCAGCGTTATATCCACGAAGTTCTATAACCCCATCTTTTACCCTATCTTGACACCCTGGCAGATCCAACTTTCCAACAAGATAATGCCCGACCACATGTTGCAAGAGTCACAATAGACTTCTTTCAACATAATGATGTCACATTGTTACCATGGCCACCAAGATCTCCCGACTTATCCCCAATTGAGCACGTGTGGGATATGATGGGTAGGAGATTGCTCAATTTGCAACGTCCTCCTCAGACTCTAGAAACACTTCGAGAGGAGTTGGTGGTTGCCTGGAATGAAATACCACAGGAGGACATTGACCAACTGATCAGAAGCATGCCTAGGCGCGTTGGAGAATACGTACGTCAGAGGGCTTTAAAGCAGTGCAATCATTTTGAAATTTTTATCATTTACTTTTTATGCTTCATTAAGTACTTATACAAAATTTTATTAAAATAAAACTATTTAAACTGGGTGTTCGGATTTATATATCGCTTAGTATAGTATGTGCGACAGAAGAGATAAAGATATTTCCAGTACTGATCAAAAGCATCCAACTTCCTAAGATTCTGGTTTAGGTCCGAGGATGTGGGAAGTGCTTATGCTCTGCTCATTAGATGCATTGCAACAGCATATATACTTATGTCTGCTCAATACTCAAGATACATTTTCCTTGATTCGTTCATACAAAGTCAACACCATGTATGCGGTTATTTAAGGCCTCCTATCCAAGATTGTAAATATATCTTGATATCATCCTGCATTACTGTAAATCAAATTTAATTGGAAAGTGATTTAAAAAAGGCTAGTTGATGTGCTTTTGAACCAAATCTTTAATCATATTTTCTCAAAATTGCAGTGGGAGCTGTTACGAGGGCCAATGGCAGAACGGAAAACGTCATGGCTTGGGGGTGGAAACACGAGGCAGGTGGATATACAGGGGTGAATGGACGCAGGGGTTCAAAGGAAGATACGGGGTGAGGCAGTCCAACACATCGTTGGCGAAGTACGAAGGTACTTGGGCCAATGGGCTGCAGGACGGGTACGGGTCGGAGACGTACGCTGATGAAGGTGAGTTTTTTGACAATGCAACCCCCAACCCACTATTTTCAACGTTTCTAAAAATTTTCCCGAAGCTTCTCGTTTTGAAGTTAATATTTTTTAAAAAAACACGTGTTTATGCGCAGGCAATACAAAAATATACTTTTTTTACACCGCCCAAATGCCAGAGCACCTCGGCTGCTATGAGGATCTTAAAAAACTGTGTTATTCCGATTTTTAGCTGTCTGAATTGTAGTAGTACTGGGAAAAGCCTCCTCTTGTAGATTTGACCACAATACATATATACACTAATGACAAAGGAGCGGTCGTATCGGCCAGTTCTGGATGTTCCAAGTTCGACATGTTTAGGATGGGAGAGCGAAGTCAGGCGGGTGTGCCCGGCAGGCACATCGCGCGGCGGCGTCATGGAGGAGAGCTCTGAGGAGCAAAGCCCATTGGTGTAGCGATAGAAGAGAGCTAGATCGCCTACGGTCCGCCTAGCCTATCCCTATCAACCGATTTCATTTTTTTCGGTTTGGTAACACTACCTAGTTCCTGAAGTCGTGATCAAATTACGCTTTTTAGAAATATCAATTGCTAAATCACAGTTCGTCAAATATCTGCCAACACTAATACACATCATTCTTGAGGATATCCTGAAAGCATGGGTATTTCATAATACATATTTAAGAACCGCTTTACGTGATGGTTATTATCTAAACAAGCACGTGTACAGAAGCTTAAAAGCCACTTTACGTAAGTAATGAGCGACCACAAAAAATCGCCCATTTTTCCTCCCCTTGGGGTATTGCGTGCCTCGTACACACTGGGTCACTTTGATACGAGTTACTAGAATTCTGTAGAGAAACGATAAAAGTTAATATTTCGCTCGATAACGTCAGGTTAACAATCAAGTTGTTATTAATTAGGTACTGTGCTTTTTATATAAATTGTATCACAAGCTAGGATATGACTCTTCTTGTCAACATATGTTAGTCACTATAGATATTTAAACAGTTGTTAAGTCGTGGTACCAGCTTTTGGAACCTGTAATCAAAGCACACTGCCGCCTGACCGTTAAACCAGTTAGTAGCTATTTCTTTCAACATTCTTCCCACCTAGTAATTGCTTAAGTTTTCTGATGGGGCTGACATTGACAATCATAAATGTTGAGGAGAAAATTTTAGAAAACTAAGAAGCATAAATGTCTATGAGCTTACACAAACAAATCTCTGTGCATACAGGCTGATTATATGTACGAAAGTAATTTCTGTAATATTACTGTGACCCGGCAACTGTGAAATGACCTATACGTTTTTTGTAAACTACATGTATTTATATGTATGTAGAGATTTTGTATTGCATCCGTCGCTTAAGTCGGAAACACCACAAAAACAATATAAACGTTTTCCTTGGTTGAAATAAAATTTGTCACACACTAAATTACGAAATCGCCTGTGTCTGATTCGAACTGAGTGCGGAAAATATGCGAATATTTTACATAGTGTTTGAGAATTCCTGTTCATCCTTGACCTATCTTGAGAACCGTGCTTTAATTGTACTAGTGATATTTTTATGCTGATGTCTGAGAGAGGCGAGAGTAAGATGTTAATAAACCCGCGCTTCACTTGAAATGCTCAAAGCGCCGTCGAGTTTCCCGTTTCACAAGACCGACTCGCTAGTCTGGATGAATTGAGCTTTGCGTCAGTCTCTTTGAGATGTGCATCCTTTGTTCGTATGCATTCCTTTAATCTTGTTTGATGTTATTAGGTTGAAATGGTAACGTCGAAAATGTTTATAAAAATTAACGTTGAATAACCATAACATCTTGGCTCTTGGCTTGTCTGCTGTGATCTCCCTCTCTCTGTCTCTCGACACCCTTTTCCCAGGAGCCCATTCATTCAATGCGACATTGAGCGTTATCGATCTGGCGCCTACTCCTACCCAATCAAGGCTCAGCACCCCCAACCTAGACAGACAGTCAGCTTCCTCGTTACCGGTACTCCAGTGTGTCCGAGGATCCAAAGGAGGGTGACTTCTTCAGATCGGACTAAGCTCTGACGAGCATTTCCGAATTATATGTAGACTTGTCCTCTAAAATGCTTCTAGTTTCACAGCTGGTTGACTACCAGAACATATAAATACGCTCAACTCGGTGAACTGTTGACTCTCCTCAGAGTATGTCATCATCTCCAGGGGATCGGATTAATATGATGACATGACTCGGCTTGAGCACGTCTTGTCCAACCCGGTAGATGCTGGGAAGAAACCTTTTTTTCTTGTAAACTGATGGAGCCTCGTATGCACAAACCAAAGCACCTTGACTGCTATGAGGAACTTAAATACACCTTATTAATCAATTTTTATGGTTAGCACAACTGGTAAAAGCCGCATCAGGCAGATTCTTCCACAATGCCGACACCCTAGGTATAAAGGAGCGGTCGTACCGGCTAGTTCTGGATGTACGGAATTCGACAGAGTTAGATCGGGAGCTAGAAGCCTGGCGAGTCCGTCTGGTAGGCGTAACACTCGGCGGCATCATAAAGAAGAGCTCTGAAGAGCAGAAGCCGTTGGCATAGCGGTAGAAGAGAGCCAGATCATTGACCACGCGTCGGTGTGAAATGATCCCGATACCCTCCGTTAGAGAAGTGTCGTCGATAAGTTGGACAGTCCTCCTCTGAACAGCATTGAGTCGGTATAAGCAGTGTAATCGGGCAGTACCACGTTAAACTTGTAAGCAGGCTGGGCCTTATATAGAGTAAGGAGGATGTGTCGAGAAAGATGCCTCTTAACCCTAAACAAATAGCCCATTTTTTTGTCATGGTTCTATCCCACCAGAGTGACACGGCAGGTAGATTGACTTCAGATCAATCAAATAAAATCAGCATGTCTTTTGTAAAAAAGTTTTCTGGTGTTCGAGATTTTGCCACTTTTGAGTTTTTCAAAAAATCCCTACATTTTGCTCCTTTTTTGACCCGTCATGGCTATGTAGAACTTCTGATTTATGATTTTTTTACTGACCAACCATTAATTGTTGGTTGAAACAAGCACTGTATGCTAAACAAAATTATTATTTATTTGTGAAAACCTTTCCTAAAGTTTGACTAATTACTGAAAAAAAATTACCAGACTGAATCGGCAAATGATCTTACAAACTAGCCTATTTAAAGCTCTTTTAAACATAGTATAACATTTGAAGCTTCTTCCTACTAAAAATTGAATAATTGCCAGTTTTGTCATTGAACTCCTAATATGTACTTGCGAAATACTACAAATAAAACATAAGTGCAGCCGTCTTTTGTATCCAAATCACTAAGGAATGAAACGACCTAAAGATGTCAAAAACTTAAAAGTGTCAACATATCGAAAACTATAAAACTTTTACTAAGGTCATGTTGATTTTATCTGATTGATCTGAAGCCAATTTACCTCCCGTGTCAATCTCAATACGATTATTAGCTAACTCTACAGAAATTCCCGTTTTCCTAATATCACAATGGAAATTCTTGGCAAAGATCACACAGAATCATCCTTAAAATAAATAATAAATAAAATGTATTGCATCTGTTCACCACAGAAAAAAATTATGTAATATATCGTCTCTTTTTTAAGAAGATATCTAGTTAAATAATACAGCACATATAATGTTTAAGTTCTAAAGCTCAATGCAACTGTTTCTGAGGTTACGTGGAAGCAAAAATTTCAGCAGACAAACAGATCGACATAGAGTTAGATAGACTGGAGAGGAATGGATTTTCGCGATAAACATCCAAATGAAATTTAAACATTTTCGATAATACTCTTTTGGCTTATCCATGGGAAGTAAAAGCCTTCATAAGAAAATTACAAAGTGCAATATAACAAGTGGAGTTATATTTGAACTATCAAATATGAGAACTGTTACCGACACCGCCTATGATGAGGTAATAGGTATTAACGATAACGGTGAGTATTTGCATCGAAGGCATCCGCTTTGTTTATATTATGTCGAGTGGCTAGATAGATACAAGAGTGGGAGACCCCTTATTACTGGTGTTTAAAACTTGAATTATTTGCATATATTTTGGTCTTATACGGAATTTTGGAATTGAAAGGGTCACACGGACAGACCGAACAAGAAAATCGTCTGGACAAGCCGCTTTGGGCTGAAGGAGGTATTTTGCTTTTCGCTATTCATCATAAAATGAATATTGTGGAACGTGACTGGAGGGAAATATGCAAAGGTGGCGGCATCTCTTTCAGCTCCACGTTGAACGTAGAAGGCCCTGAAGTGTGCCGGGCGGTGGAGGTGACGTCCTTGAACTGCCTTTGCCTGCCTCGTCTGCCAATGAAGCCCCAGCGCTCAGTGTCGGCGACGGTTTCCCAGGTTACCGTTCCGTAGTACAGTTAATCCAGTCTCCCGGGGAATAAACGCTATGCATAATGGGATAGTGCGTTACTTAGATAGCACAGCCTGTCTAGAATTAATTATTCAAAATAAATTTTCCAATTTTCCGTTACAATTAGATGGGAGAAAATCCAAACTAGATATACGAGCCCCTTCCTACTTCAGTTGGCCCAACTATTGAAATCTCTTATCAAACACAAATAATAAAAATGTAGCAGGGTGTAATAGGTTTAAAATATTAACATTGAATATTTTGATAATATATAGTAGAAAACACCATCTTTATCACTCCCTAATCAAATTTGCAGCATAAAAATAACACATGTTGCAATTACAGCATATCAACCTATTTTCATTTCAATGCAAAATAAGTCTATAACGCATAGGTGGCTGTGAAAAATAAAAGCCATGACAATTGTTTTTATTAATCACAGCTGTCGGAATACGTTTAAAATAGTTTTGGGTAGTTAACTTAACTTTGTTAGACTTATCGCGGTACAGTGTGAGAAATATTGTTAGAAGATATAACGTTCAGTTAATATTAAGCCACTATATGTGAAAAAAAGTAATATCACAAATGCCGACTGAAGAGCATTAAGAAGAATAATCGTGAAAAACAGGCGTGCCAATTATTTACAATTAA